GTAGGGAATCGAACTGGATACCCCTTGAATGTATCTACAGAACTATCACCACACAAAACTAGCTAGGTCATAATTATAGGTCTAATCATGATTGTGCGTGATACGGTTGAAATTTCTGTGTAAATTTTTCATCTCTGAAGCCGTATTTAAAATTGGTCGACTAAATTTAGGCCACACTGTAGCTGCTTTTACTAGTGACTTTGCTTATATGACTTTAAAATGTTTCTCTATACCATATGGCACCATAAAAATCATGTAGCTTATTATAAAGAATGAAAAGCCATAATTATTTATGTCGTGTGCAAGTGAGTGGATTTTTAAGCCTCAGTTCTTTCGTAAATATCAGAAATATTGTCTTCATGCAGATTTTGACGGAAACTCGTCCTTAGGTTCGGAATTACACGTATTTATTTCAACTACTAATTATTATAAGAAAGTTGTGTGGGTGAATTTCGAAACGGGTACAGCTTAAGAGCTTTCGTTTGGTCTGAAGATTCTTAAACGTTCAATGACTGTTGTGTTGGAGTGCTTTATCATTCTTGACGATGCAAGGAATTCTTTCTTAATTATGCATGACAGAACAGAACACAACCATCCGTCTGGACATCAGCCAGATAGTTATCGCATTAAGTAAAACAAAGGAACGAGTTTAAAAAAACAAACTTGATTTACATGCATCGAGTTACATAACTGAGAAAACTTCACGACTTTGAACTTGACGGTGTTTTTATAGACACAAAAATAAATCGTGATGGATAAAAGAGCACACACGCAGCCTCTACGTTCCCTTCCAGGACCAACGTCATCGGTAGAGTCAATTAGTTGCAGTGTGTTTATTTATGGCATCAATGATTTCGCCCGGTAATCGACACAGAATAAGTGGATTCATAAAACGTTCGACCTGATCAAAAATTAAAACCCTTCTGTTAAACGTAAGTTTCCAAAACAGTTGTTATGCTAATAGCATAAGAACTGTTACCTTAATAAACAATTTCTATTATTTATTCGGTTTTTGTCCGTCTAATCACAATTCATATATAAAATTTACAATTAAGATAATTAAAATATTTATATTTTAATTATCTTAATTGTAAATTTTATATATGAATTGTGATTAGACGGACAAAAACCGAATAAATAATAGAAATTGTTTATTAAGGTAACAGTTCTTATGCTATTAGCATAACAACTGTTTTGGAAACTTACGTTTAACAGAAGGGTTTTAATTTTTGATCAGGTCGAACGTTTTATGAATCCACTTATTCTGTGTCGATTACCGGGCGAAATCATTGATGCCATAAATAAACACACTGCAACTAATTGACTCTACCGATGACGTTGGTCCTGGAAGGGAACGTAGAGGCTGCGTGTGTGCTCTTTTATCCATCACGATTTATTTTTGTGTCTATAAAAACACCGTCAAGTTCAAAGTCGTGAAGTTTTCTCAGTTATGTAACTCGATGCATGTAAATCAAGTTTGTTTTTTTAAACTCGTTCCTTTGTTTTACTTAATGCGATAACTATCTGGCTGATGTCCAGACGGATGGTTGTGTTCTGTTCTGTCATGCATAATTAAGAAAGAATTCCTTGCATCGTCAAGAATGATAAAGCACTCCAACACAACAGTCATTGAACGTTTAAGAATCTTCAGACCAAACGAAAGCTCTTAAGCTGTACCCGTTTCGAAATTCACCCACACAACTTTCTTATAATAATTAGTAGTTGAAATAAATACGTGTAATTCCGAACCTAAGGACGAGTTTCCGTCAAAATCTGCATGAAGATGGCTGTCTTCTGGGTTATTGCACCGTGTAATCTTATAGACGTTTAACGAAGTTTCGGAGGTTCTAGCTGCTTCCATCATCAGGGCGATGGATTCTTGATGATGGAGGCAGCTACCATCTCTGAACCGCGCCACCCAGAAGACATGTATATTCATACTAGTCGCCATGACAATATAAAAATATCTGTGTGTCTGTCTTCTTTTTTGCATGATTACAATATTTTTATTTACACTTTCTATGATAAAATAAAAGTTCGTACAGTTCTGTAATTACCCACCCCTGGTTTACTACACACGACCGACAATATGTATGCGTGCGTTTCTTGTTTCTGGAAACATTACCACAGTAGTTAATGATCTTTTAAACAAGTGGAACAAGCACTGGTAATATATAACTTCCTTTAGAAACAACGTTTACCTTTCACGATTCTCTGTCTAAAGTATTAATATTCGCTGAAGTTCAGACAGTTGTTAGTAATGAATCTTTCTGCTTCATCAGGCTATAGAATTATATTATGTTTCTTTTCACATAATAAATTCTTGTATGTTTTTTTGCTACATTTCTGGCTGAGAAAAATTATCCCATGTTTAGTATGGAATTTCATAACTGCGAGACTGTTCATTTTGTAACATAAGATGTATATTACACGTATTTACCATCTAATCCTGCTGTTTCATGACAACGTAAAGGCTTATACTGTAATGCGCTAGGATCTTCAAGTTTCAGCAGTGATATTTTTATCATTGAAAGTTGAGACTTGGAGATAAGACGTCCTTCTCCGTATTTGGGAAGCCCCGGGTTTGAATCTCGCAACAAAGACCGGGTTTCTTGAAGTATTTCGTGATATTTCGCATTCCATGCAGGAAAATGCTATGCTAGTGTCTAAAAATAGGTCACTACCACTTTCTTTATCATAGTTTTAAATTGACGGTTTATTATTATCGCATTGTGTTGTAATCTTTGAAACTAAGATAGTATCTTTAAATATTAATACTGGAACACATTAAAAGGCAGAATTACGTACGGTGCTTACTAGTACCAGCTCAGTAGTCTGAGCCTTAGAATGCATTATGTTTTGTTTTGTTTCCATAACACATTAGAGGTCTACAATTTTTTAATGCATAAAAATCAAGTGCTTTTTGTTTCTGAATGATATCAGATCTGACAGTAAAACGATTCAACACACATTCTACGAGTCTCACGTAAAATAATATTGTATTTAAAAATATTCGACTACTGCAGTATCGAAATATATTCTTAATGTCTTTTTAAGGCGTTATCAGTACTAGGTTTCATTAAAATACTGTATTGAGACAGTCGTAGTTACTGGGCCACTGACCTACAGACGTGACCTTAATGCAAGTGGTTCTACCATTCGCTAAAAGCTCCTAAAATGGAAGACAGATAAAATAATAAAACGTTTCATGTCTGAGGTGATTACTCCATGGAGCCAAGTTCTTTAAGAACTCGCCTACAGAATATTAAACTATAAACGAACATTTGACTTTACTTTAGAGTTTGAGGTGTCTTAGATTTTTTCGGGTGTCGTATTCCAGGCTTGGATCTAGTTTTAGAATTAGATGTAAAGACCTAGGAGAAAACAGGAGACTGGAGAAAATTACGTAGTGTATTCTTCATCAAATACAAGTCATAACATCAAGGAATACGAGTTGTCCTGGATATGTAGCACGCATGGGGGAAACGATAAATGCATATAGAATTTTAGTTGAAAGAAAACACTTGAGACACCTTAGCGTAAGAGGACAATGTGAAAAAGGGTCTTAAGTAAGTAGGGGGTAATGATGTGAATTTGTTGGTCTCGAGATAGGGGTAATTAAAACAACACAGAAAGGTTTTAATTTTTGTGTGGTTTGGCATCTCTGCGGAGAGTCTAATTAAAATCAATCCGTTCGTCTGTAACAACTCGAGAGCGGTTGAAGTTTTGAAATATTGGGAAGTTTTACTAACATTCTTCGTCTCTTAATTTTAACTCACATAGGACAAAAGTAACTGAATTTTGCATGGAGATTTTCGTGTGTGGTTTTTTTTGGTTTTATTTATTATTCCATGGCGTAGAATCCCTATCCGGGTAATTCCCGGTTGGGAATTTAGCTCGATATTCACAAAGTTCAAAGGTTAAACACTGACACGCGCTCCTGAGTTGTTACGATGCGTGTTTGTTTCGAAGTCAGCGTCACGTTGTCTTCATACATGAGCTTTCCGGTAAAATCATGATTCTCTTAAATTCTCGACAAAGCCGTCTTACTACTCGTAAGAAAACATTGACCTCGAACCTGCGATACGGACGTTTCGTCATATATAGTGACGTAACATCGCCACCCGTTGTCTTAGTATTCTTCCAAGTCATTGTAACCCATTCAGTAGCATTTTCATTAGGTTTGAGCTGCTCATGTATTGTATCAGTCAAGATAAAGCTAATATTAATTATATTCTTTCACTAATTTAAAGTCACTGAACAATAGAATTGTCTTTTTCTGTAAACTGTCCGCCTCCCAGCGTTAATTTTAAATAGAATGTGGGCGGAGAATGTGTACCATATTTAGTACTTTTCACCAGTTGAAAGGAAATTGGGTTACATCAGTAGAATTGTCAGATTCCTTTATGCGTAACCAGTGCAAGCCAACCTCTCTTTCTCTGAACGCGAAGCTTTGACAGTATTGTACTCATTTCACTTTCTTTCATCCGTCAGCAACCAGCTCCTACGACCAGAATGACTGATTTTATCGTCACGTATTTGTATTAACGTTAATACTTGTTTTGTTTTTAAATATAAAACTATATCTACCTTATAACAATAATAATAATGTTGCAAATCTAATCGTAAAATAGATCTTTGTAGTTGTCTTAATAGCAACTGGAGTTGGAATTTCCATGAACTAAACAAATGACAGTTACATGTAGATGTGATATTCGATTACTAGATCGACTCTCTGTTCGAATAATCTATTAACAATCGATTGGTATAAATTTATTCGTGTTTATAATTAAAAGAAATAGAAATCATGAGAATAGAATTACATCACAGATTATAAATAACACATAATTGAAGTGGTAATGATCATTATTGTGTTTATGAAATGTAAAAAATATAGAATTAAGTTAATTCTACGAGAATGAAAGATTAAACTTCTTGTTTTGTGTTATTTTAAAGATAACATTTAACAAAATTTGTACTAAATCAAATATTGAACTTACCTTAATTCCTTCAGGGCGAATGTCTGTTACGACTAGGCACTGCACCGGAATTATACGAATTTTTAATGTTTAAAAATCAAATTCCCACAAGTGTTTGGCGAATTTATTAAGCAGATTTGGGTCTTTATGAATATTCTACCTTTCGACTACACACCGATCCCTGGTGTAGCAGATACTGACTAGCTTGCCACCTGCTTGGGGTGATAGCCACTAAAATATTAAGAGTTCATATAATTCCAGCTTCCACCACCACCATCATCATCGTCTTCTAACTTGGGAGACGAGAAAAGAGAGTGAAAGTGACCAATCACGGCCGACCGCCATGTCATTATTAACAAACCTACCTGAACTACCACCACCACGATTTCTGCTACATATTTTCTAAGAGCACATGTTATCGTGTTTTTCTCACTCAGACTGCCTATGACTTGGAAATTAAACGGCGTGTTTAATATATTCGTAAGTTTGCCTGCTGGGACGCAAATGCCAGTATCAGAGTAGCAGCAGCCAAAACTTACTCATCATTTCCAACCTCTAAGAAGACGTAGTGCTAGTACGTCATTAGTAATGTATCAGAATAGTTCTGTTTATTGTTAGAAACTGACAAAACTCATCATCACGCGCAGATAGTGACATTATGAGTTTTTGCCCTTGTTTACTTCCACAATTTTCTCTCGATTCTAACTGTATCTACGTCTGTGCTTTATAATTTATCTTATTTATATTAATAAATTTGCCATGTAGAGTTTTTCGTGATTTTTAGTGGCGTAAGTCGTAATCAGGAGCCACGGTGGTCTAGCGGTTAGAACGCTGGCCTTGTAATCCTGGGGTCTCGGGTTCGATTCCCGGCGGTGCCCGAATTTATAACTTGTGTTGGGCAAGGCCGTGGTCTAGGCAACACGGAGTTTTCCTCCGTGGCATCCCAACAATTACTCCATTCACACACAGAAGAAGGCAATGGCTCGATTCCCTGCGGTGCCCGAATTTATAACTTGTGTTGGGCGAGGCCGTGGTCTAGGCAACACGGAGATTTTCTCCGTGGCATCCCAACAATTACTCCATTCACACACAGCAGAAGGCAATGGCAAACCACTTCTGGATCATCTGCCAAGAACGTATATGAACAGGTCCCAGTCCGAGAAAAGGATGGAAGGATCCTGTTCATATGGACCTGTCGCCAGACAGAACACTAAATAAATAATAAATAAAAAAAAAAGTCGTAATCCTGACTTGTTCCCTTGCCATTCCTCATTTTCTTATAATCTCGACTTCGTGCAATGCCCCCAATCTGAAAGGAACATTAAAAATGCTTCCCGTAAATACCGTAATTATTATAATTATTGTTGTCATCTCCACCACAGAGTTGGTTTTTGCCACCAGATGACGTCAGAATTAAGAAATATTAAGAATAAATAAGACGTTTTTAATATAATTGTCCTAGCTTATGATTCGTCAAAATTTTCGAGAATCAACTTTATTGTGTCGGACAGTATTAACATTTATTTCAGTATTATTCTTTTATATGGCGACTTAAGCCAGTTTCCTGCGGAACTCACCAACATAAAACCGACCAACCTGTCTCCAAAATCACGCCTAACGCAGAACCCACCGTAGGCGACACGATATTCCCTTTTGAATTTCTTCGTGCCAGTGTCGCCACCGTTAGAACTTGATTTTTCCCCATCGTGCGAAATTGTCAGAACATTTAACATATTATTATTATTATTATTATTATTATTTTCAATTGTTCATTCAGATCTAACCCTCTGTTCGACATTATATTAAGTACTGTATGCAATTAAAGAATGGATGAGTGGTCCAAGTATCAGTCTACATACTTTACTCGTTAGCAAGACCATCATTCATTTGTTGGTAGGAGTTGTCATGTATTTGAAATCGATCAACACAACGTTTTTGGAACAACTGGGAGCTGGTAAGTTAATGCAAGAGGTACCAGGATATGGTCTCCGCCGGTCATAGGCAGTGTGGGTGCTACTCTTGGTCGCAACCTGATCGACTTGAGACACTCCAGTCCATTCAGATGTTGAAGTGGGGGTCATTCTGTTACCTGTGTTGGCCCCCTCTGTGGCACTGACTGGGCAGTTTTTGGTTTGGGTGCCACAAGGAGAGAAAACCCACCCCCAACTCCCTCTTTCGTCCTCTTAGGTCGCAGTCAGTAATTCAAGATTGTAGGCGTTGGTTAGGCATTTCTAATCTGTGTGACTCTCGAGGGAATGTCTTCAGTTACAGGCGTGGTTAGGTTGTAGTGGGTGGATTGATTTAATGCATGTAGGAAGATGCATGTCCAATTTGCCCAGAATGTAGGAGGGTAAAATGTCGCGTGGTCACCAACAGCATTGATTTCTATGCCGTATTTCTTGAAAAGCCTCAAGGAATTTAGGGGATAATTTATATACATTTATCTAATGACGGATTTAATTATACATTCATATCTTCAAAATAAATTAAACTCTAATCTTAAACCTGATTCTATCGCCAAGTCATCCTTTAAATTATGCTTCTGATATGCGATCGTGGAACGCAAGTAAGTGTTTTGATGTACCATTCTGGATGTTTTTAAACAAAACCGGGGTATGTGTATATTCCGACCAGGTCCAGTGGTTAT